TCTGACTGTACAATGTTGAGGCGCACAATGAGTCAGGATGTCACAATTTCACATTTTGAAGTGCAGATTATTGTGAGAAAAAACACCACGGTATAACAAATGTTTGAAATTATTGGCCTTGACTTGAATGTTCTAGAATTTAAACTTTACAATAACATTACCAAAGAAAACAAAATATATAAGATATGGAACTAACTTAGTTAAGATAAACATGGACATTGTTGTTAACTTCTGTCAAAGCTATACAGAAGGGATTTCTTCTTTAAAAGGTGGATACAAAAATTCACACACACAAATGTAAATACTGTAAATTATATTTTATTATCTTTTTCATGTGTTTTAACTGTTGATTCTCTGACCTGTGTTGGTGATTTCAATGGTTTTGTTAAGTCCTCTGAGATGACTTCTGTTGTGACATATGGGCTATACAAGAATAAATTGTATTGTATTGTATTGTAATTACAATATTTATATTGTCCTATACACTATCAAAACAATGTTTGAGGAAAGGAACTACAACCAAACCAAGATTTAGACACAGAGATATGAGAAAAAGCCAAGTTTTAACAAAATGTGATAAAACAAACTGAAACTGTGTTGCTGGTGACATCTGATTAAGTGATATGGAACTTAATTTAACATTTGGTTCAAAAAATATTAATAGTTTGCTTAGGTATCCTCACTTACCAGGGTATATATTATGTAATAACTAAAATCTTTACATCCCTAACAATGACTTTTACTGTAACTTCCTTCATCTGGCTATTATTGGAAAAAGACAAGTAGGTGAAATTCCAACACAGATAGCAGTGGTAATGAGCGTTTGATGAAGAGCAGGCCGTGGGTTACGTCCAGGGCCTTTCCCTTCACCCCGGCCTGACCCGTCCCTCTGGAGATTGATGTCCACTGGCTCTTCCACGCATTGTGCTCTGTTTAGGGTATTTCCTCTCCCCTCTTTTTGTCTTGTTTTAAAAAAAGAAGGCTCTAATTGCCACGCAGAGCTTGCGAGATGCCGTCATAAGGCTAAAGAGGACTCGCATTGTAGCGTGCTGGCAGCCGTCACCGTCAGCTGTGTTTGCTGAGGTCAAAGGTCCCGCACAGGGAGAAGGAAGGGGTCTTATTGGGGTCCTGCAGTTTGGACGCACTGGGCTCCATCGCTGTGTTTGCGCTTGGAAACGCTCGGCTGATTGATTAAGTTCAAACAATAAATGGGCAGGCAAATGGCGCTCTGCAAACCAGGACAGCAGATAAAGTTTGGGGTCCTGTTGCCACACAAATCTGGTAAAACTTTGAAATTGGTGATTTTATGACAAATATTTTGCAAGTATATATGTTTAAAAAGTAATATTGTTTGGAATGAATACTGTATGTCATCTGGAGATTCCCACACATCGAAGCCTTCATTTAGTTATTTTTTGTCTGTAATCTATGAACTGCAAACTTTTATATGAAAGGGTATATTCTTATAAAAACAACATAACATGTCAACATAAGCAACTATACATATCCTGAACAAAATGTGAATATTCTAAACCTGTCCAAATTCATACAGTTCTAAGTTGGATTTTCCCTGTGCTCTTAAATGTATCACTGCCTGTTGTGTTACAATATTTTTTCTGTGTTTACACGCACGCATCAGCTCCTCCTAACAGACTGGGGTTACACTCCTCAATCGGTTTGAGGAGTCAATACACACGTTTACATGGGTCTTTATGAATTGGATGAGGAGGATTAAAATAAGCCTAAAATATTATTTAACAAAGAGTACCATTAACATGTGGAAGACTAAAGACTTGGATCGTCTTAAGTTGCATCTTCTCTCATGTGTGAGAGAAGATGCTATGTACACAAGTGTTATGTTCACTTATTTTTTGAAAAAAATGTGTAATATTATAAGAACATAAGAACATAAGATTGCTTTATTTATCTCACAGAGTAGAAATTTACATGTCACATTTGGCATGGATAGAGACACTCAGATTGTGCAAAGGGAGGAAATGTGCAAACATGTTACATGCAGGATATATGTACAATAAAGTGACAATAATTATGTACAACAAAAGTGACAAGTGTCAATTGGAAACAGTGTCAGTAGTAGTGCAGGTTTTCACACAGTGATCATTTAAAGTGACTTATTGTACAGTCTGACAGCGGTGGGGATAAAGGCCCTGCGGTAGCGCTCCTTCCTACACTGAGGGTGCCTCAGTCTTCCACTGAAGGAGCTCCTCAGCTCCTCTACAGTCCTGTGCAGTGGGTGGGAGGTATTGTTCATGATGGAGGTGGCTTTGGCTAGCACCCTCCTGTCCCTCACCTCCTCCACAGAGTCCAGGGAGCAGCCCAGAGTGGAGCTGGCCCTCCTGACCAGCTTGTTCAGTCTGTTTCTGTCCCGCTCTGTGCTGCCCGGGGCCCAGCACACGGCAGCGTAGTAAATGGCAGAAGCTACCACAGAGTCATAAAAAGTCCTAAGCAGAGGCCTGCTCACTCCGAAGGACCTCAGCCTCCTCAGAAGGAAGAGGCGACTTTGGCCCTTCTTGTGCAGGGCGTTTGTATTATGGGACCAGTCCAGTTTATTGTTAATGTGAACACCCAGGTACTTGAAGCTGTCCACCAGCTCAATGTCCTCCCCCTGGATGTTCATCAGTGTGTGGGAAAGTATATTATGCAGAAACCTGTTGCCTTCAGAACAGTGCTGGTGGTGGAGCAGTGGCTGGCTCTGTGCTGAACAGAAACTTATTTGTAATCTATTAATTTCATCAACTCGATCAATCGTTCAGACCTTGTCTACTTGATACTAAATGAATAGAATGGATAGACTGATATAAACATGTGATCAATATCCTACAGGAATGACAAATCAAATTGTAATTGGTTTATTGTTCTATGTGTTACCCAAGCTTTAAAATCAATTCCAATTCATTTTATTTATGTAAAGCCCTGTATTGCAACAGCAGTCAACTTCAAAAGACTTTACAAAGTTATCGATTCGTCAACAACAGATCAGAAAATCAAACCGTTCGAACACTCGAAATGCAATAATAAATAGGAACAGGATCACCACCAAAATGTTAATACATTGGCAGAACATCCCGGAACATCACTGTCCGTAGACCCTCCAGCATCGGCAACTAACCTTGCAAAATCCAGTCTATATCAGTGATTCTCGCCCACATTCACAAAACAAATTCCGATGCAGTACTTTTGTTCTAAAAGACAGAAAACAGCCCTACTGATGATTCAAAGCACCCCATGTTTGAGACAGGAGCTTTTGGTCAGAGAGGGTGCAGTTACATATTTGTGCAGAAGTTCTTGATATTAGTGTAGATTGATCTAAAATCTATTTGAAGTTAGATGATGAACAATGTTGATTCATGGTTTGAAGTTCTTTCTCTTGCTCAGACCAAATACCAGTGAGTCTGGGTTGGACCACTCCACTTTGCGGTTTAAATTGGCCACCATTTTGTCCTGGCAACACCTCCTGACCAATTACACCCCGTCTGTATTAATTAGGCGATCAGGAGGACACCTGTGCTCCGGTGCGGCCTGGCGATAAATCAGAGGAGTGAGCTCAGGCTGATTATCCTGACAGCCCATCAGTCTTCAGAGAGGCCCACTCCAGTGAGCCACAAGCAGCAGCAGCCACACACCAGCCACAGGGGCCTCTGCTTTGTATGGGGCCCTTCACCCTGTACGACCAGGCCTGGGACGCCCTCATGTCACTCAGCTATTGTACACATATATTTCAAAAACGAAGCGATTCGTTGTCTTCTTTAAACAAAACATTCACTCTTTTATTACAACAATATTATTTCAGGCGTTTTAGGTGAGGTAATGTAATTCATTTTGGGGCAGGCAAGGAAGGTTTATTTGTATATCACAGTGAATACAATGTGCTTAACAAACCAATTAAATAAATTAAATTACAATCATACTAGGCATTTAAAAATCAGATTCAGATTCTGTTTTTTTACCATTTGCAGTAAAAACACCACATTGGAATACATTAGCAAAAAGTCTCCAGTGTGCACAGACAAATACAGACATAAAACAACATTAAAAGACAGAAATAAAACAAATAAAACAGTAAACAAATGTCACTGTGAAATTGATCGACTAAAACAGTTCTAATGTAAATAATCACAGCATATTAAAAAGGAGAGTTGAAATACAGGCTCAAACATGCGATTGAATTATTTGTGTTGGTATTTTGCTTACAAAATGGCCTCTAACCCCTATTTTTGATGTATATTGACCCTGAAAACTCTGAAACTAACCCTCTAAGCCTGTTTTCTCATAACATAACATTTCAACCAATATTTATTTTAGTAATATTGCATATTTTGTTGAAGGTTGTACTGACAATATTGTACCCTTTCCTTTGTGATTTTATTACAGGAGGTTCTTGTACTAATCAGAAAGAACATGTCCCCCAACCCCTTAAAAGTTCTGTTTTTAAACTTTTTGCACTATGAAGTATTGCCTCCAAATTAGTACCTAACTTTTAAACAAACTATTTGATGATATCAGGCACTCCATCTCACTCCTCGCTCTCAGTTTGCTTGTATCAATAATTCTGGCCTCTGTCACAGATTAGCTGTTTCACTCAGTCAATCAGCTCTCAGCATCAAATAGTGACTCACAGGGCTCTTTCTTTCTAAGTATGAAAAAGATGACTGGTTTTCTGATAGTGAATATAATAAGAAGCATTTTGGTTTGAACATTTTTCTTTTCGACAGAAGACTCTTTCTTATGGAACAATTAACCAACTTTAAGAAATTATTTCCTGTTCAACTTAATGTTAAATACAATTTCTCATAATTGTTCTTATTTTTTGTTTGAACAAAAAATAAATGTCTTTAAAGTCTCAGAATACAAAAACTTGTATAGGCACCTCACATCTTAGTCTTGACCATGACTCCCCCACCCCCATTGTTCTTATTTTTTGTTAGAACAAAAAATAAATGTCTTTAAAGTCTCAGAATACAAAAACTTGTATAGCCACCTCACATCTTAGTCTTGACCATGACTCCCCCACCCCCTCCCGCCTCTCCCTGGACGCCCATTTCACCCCTAAAGTGAAATACCAGCAGATATGGTGGGTCTGGGTGAGGCAGGGTCTTCCTGGCCCGTGGAACAATTACTGGCCCGATGTTTCCACAGTGATGGATCATGGCGGCGGTGGGCCTGTGATTGTCCGAGGCGGGATGGGAGACTGGACAGAGACTGATGACGGTGATGAGAAGCCAGATGGGTCTGAGTGGGATCTATAAACTGTAGTAGCAACATGATAGCCACAGAAAGGCGTATGCCAACATATATTTTTTGTTATACCTGTCCCGCAATCAATTATCATATGCTATAGCTTAGTATTGATATTTTGAAACCGGTGTACCTAACTTTCAATCCACAAAACAATTTACTGTGTGACAAAAATCTATCAAGGGTTTTCACATGTATGTATTGATGAACACACATCAAACAATATCTATTATTTAAGATACAGCTGCACTTGGTTCAAAGACAAGTACGTTTGTAGAGTTTACACTGTAGTTAGCATCATGAGGTATCTACAGATGTATAAATTGTACTTATAGAGAGAATATGAGCAGAATAGACAATAGTATTAATAGCAGCAGGTAAGGTGACTAGTGGATTATTAGAACAGAATTATCATATTTATGGAATATTTAATTGTGTAGTAATAATAGAGCAGGTAACATTACAAGCGACTAGTAAAAAGACAGAACCACCCTGCACAGTGAGCTCTCAGCCCAAAGAGTCAAATAGTGACTCTAGTGATGTGCTGCATGAAATTCACTTTTACTACAGAATCAGTTCAAATACATGGAATCACAGTTGTTTAGTAGTAGGATGTAATTCATGGTCTTCTTCCTCCTACATGAATTCAAAGGATAAAATGTTTTTTATTTATTTATTTAAGATAAAGACAATATGTTGGGATAATTAGTTCTGAAACAAGAAAATCTGCAGTTAGCTCTTTGTGCAGGTTAAACTCAGAATATTTAAATTTTGTTCAAAAGTTATTTCTAAATTTCATCTTAAAATGTGAAACCAGAATAGGCTATAGATCGGTGATATAGACTAATGCAGCCAGCGAAAATTCAATTTGGTAGACGTTAACCAAAATTACCCCCTCCAGGCCGGCTCGCATCCCCAGCCTATCGCTCAGCAGACGCCCCCTTCCAATCATCTGTACCGACTACGCCAGCCGCATAAAAACGGAGAAACTCCCACTTCTCGGCCTCTGAAGCCTTGCAACCACCGCCTCCCCTCCTCCTCCTCTTCACCCTGCCTCCAATCTGCCTTCAATCTGCTTCCCGCTGCCAAATGCCGCCACCAGTGCCTAGGTCCCGGGGGATTGTGCGCGCTCCATCGCAGGAGCCTTTCCGATCTGAAGGCCGCACCGGGACCTAGGGCGCCAAACCTCCTTTCAATAAAATACTCAAAACTTCCTGTTTTCTCGTCTCTCCAAATTGAAATTACACAGAAAGTGATATCCCTATGTAATCATTTGGATGATTATGGCTTAGAGTCCATTCCTCCCCCCCCAAAAAAGAAAGAGTTGTCGGTGTTTACAGCAGTGACAATTATCAACATTAGATATATCTTTTGCATGTAATAAGTCTCTGATATATTGGTCTCACATTGTAATTTGAATTACAGAAGAAAACATATTTTTGAGAGACAATATAACTTTTGTTTGTACACACAAAGTTTATATTGTTTAGTCAATGCATTCCAATTATGATAAAATAGATAAATATAAAAACCATAGACTATATAAAGATGGACAATGTTAATCCGCTAGCTCAATGAAACCCAATCAGGAAGTGCTGATGGAGAAAGTTTTGCTCCAACTCGCTCTGGCTCCTTCTAACTCACATTGAAAATTAAATTCCTCTAGCTCAGTAACCGTTTGGATTAGACTCAGGCTTAAAAATCTATGGTTTAGTGCTCTTTATCCTGGTGTTTATATTTTTATATAGTCTTTGGAAATTCCGATATGACCCATTAAAAGTTTTGACCAATCAGATGCTTTCATTTGTGGGTATAATAACATGTCTGCACCTATTATCGCACTAAGCCCAATAGAACCCCAATGGAAAAGGAAATTGGCTCCAGCTATCTTATGTTCAAATGAGGTCGTCACACTCGGTCATTCCACTCCTGATTTCCAGTATGTGAGAAAAACAGGTAGATTTGATCAAAGTCCACATCCCTGACAACGTGTTAGTCTTTACTGCTCCATACAGCCTCTCCAACATGTCCGTGTAGCCACTTCCAGCTTGCTCTTTCACTTTTTACAGCCAATAATTTGAGTTTGGTGTGAGGCTGTCTCTTCTCATCAGCCTTACTGCTGTTGGAAACAAGCCAGCTGTTTTCAATGTAGAACTCCCGTAAAGTGACTGCCCACTGTATTTCCAACGCCGCAAAACTGCAAGGTGCCATATCGCAAGACGTGGCTCGACCGTTGTCTTTGTGTCAATGTGGGGAAGATTTAGTAGAATTTAATAGCAATTTATTTAGTCAAATGATTTGAATTCAAGGATAGCCAGAAATACAAGTTGGCCTTACGTTTGGCCCACTTCATATAATAGTCTTTACTGAAACAAGAAAAAACAACATTATATTCCTATTCTTGTTATACTACTTGATATTATTTACATAATAATAATTACATAACAGGTATTTCCGCAGCTCAGCCTACTTCCAGGGGTATTTCTGGAACTGGACCTTTTTTTACCAAAAGGTTGCGTTCATAGAGCTGTATATTTCTGTATTTCGGGTAGGTGCCAATATTACTGATATATGTACAGTATATTTATATATATAATTTTTTCTTCTGGTCATCATCATTCATATGCTTTTGAATATTTTCACCTCTTTTAGACACGTTAGAAAATAATTAGACTATAGTTGATATGTGCTGACAAGGAAGATGTGGAACATTGAGACAGTTTTTGTTTAATGTGGATTGGCCCAGGGATTAGTGAAATAGCTCTAAACTAACACTAGAATATGACTTTTGACTCTTACCATAGTTACCAGGAAATATTTTTTATCTGCCTTCTATCATAATGTTGTAATGTCACACTAGCGCAACCTATTGTCCGCAACTGTAAGAACATTCTAACTACACTTTATTGTTCACAACATTGTAAAAGCACCAGTTTCCGCCCCTCCAGGACTTACCGTTTGAACTCTGCATCTCCGCACACTAACCCCAAGTTCATCGCGGGATCCACCCAACATCCACTTTCCTCTCCTTTCCCGCCGCGTTATCCCGGGGACTGGTGTTTTTTAATCCACTTACCTCACACCAACAGCCCCCTATCAATAAAACAGGTATCGGCTTTCCCTCCCCAGGGCCCGTGAGAAGCCGAGTGCCAGTCCTTTAAGACTTCCTTTCAGTGCTGGTGGTGGTAGAGCACTCCTGTGTAAGCTCCTAATCCCTCTGTCGCCATCTCCCAGTGAACCTGCGAGCCAAAGGAAGCCTTGTCCTCTCACTAAACCTGGAGCTGATCTCACGCGGTTAAGCTTGGACATACACTGTGGTCACATGCAAGTCAAGCAGAGGGTTTCGAGCTGTAAAAAATCTTGGCTTTCTTAGAGTGTTTTTTTTTTTGCCTCAATCATCTAAACCATTTTCAGAGAGACGAATTTTGCATAGCCAACTATTGGGCCATCAGTTTTAACAATCAAGTCTGTATACAGTGGTCCCTCACTATAATGTGGTTTACTTACCTTGGCCTTGCTGTTTCACGGATTCCCTTTTTGCAATATTGCATGTTTTTACAGCTTCTTCATAAAGGTTTTGAAGACCTCCTCGGAGTTGATTCATCTCAAGGGGTTATTCCTCATAATAAACGATAATAAGTCATAAGCAAACTTTTGTAGCTTCTGTGCCCCACAGTGATTATTTAAGAAGGCTAATATTGTGTTCCTGTAGCCCTCAGTCCTGCTCCTGCCCTTTACAGTGTTAAAACAGCTGCTACTTCAAGGATTTCACTTATTGTGGGTTGTTCTTATAACGTAACCCCTGCGATAAACCAGGGACCACTTTAGCATAATATTCATTATTTAAACATACAATGTGATCACATGAATATTTAGGTTTTTGATGCGTACAATGACAGTTCCTTAGAAAAATGCCGATTTCACTGTAACTTAGACTGTGTTCTACTAAAATCTCATTCATGAATAATCTACTCTCTAAAATCCACAGATTTGAGCATGTAAACACTGAAGTCTGCAGCCATGACTCAACAAGAGCCCTGTGCTGTATATTCTTATTCTTTGCCGTGCATTTCTTTTGACCAGAGTGTTTGTGTGTAGCCTGGCACGCTGCCGCTGTGTAGTTAGGGCCTCATCCAACTTTTTTTCAGTTGGAATTTCCTGTCTGTAATGGCCCCTCCCTCCTTCCGTGGCTCTTGCTCCTCTCCTGCTCCCTCGGCATGACAAAGACCTTCTTTCCTAGTGTGTTTCTCTCAGGGCTCGGTCATTGAAGTCTGAGTACTTCCTCCAGGACGTGAGCCCACTCCACAGTGCTCTTGATCAGCCACCCCAATAGGATGTAATGAGCGAATGCGGTTTCCTTCCACTACAGTTAGCAGTTCCCAGCACGCCATGCTATTGTCTTTAGTGGAAGTTAAAGCTGGGATACCTATGTATTACAGTCTACCTATCTAGTTCCTCGCTTTCAAAACAGTTTTTTTATTCCTAGTTTTCACATGCATATTTTTTTGCCCCCTGTCACATCTTTAGATTTTAGATCAGTGTTTTCAAACAGAAGAGTGAAAAAGCGAGGAGCATCGATCAGTTAAATTAGTCAAATAGTGACGTACTTATCCGCAATAGCATTTCAGCAATCGTGAGTTCAGGTGGTTAGAAAACTTTCTTTCTCAAATTGTGTGTCATTTTAAGAACTTAAGTCCGGCAAAAAACAAGAAACCACCGTATTGCATTTTCAAAATTATTGTCAGGAAATCTATAATTCAAGCAATTGACCATTTACCATGACACACTACGACAATGCTGAGTGGGCCTCTTTTTCCTAATTTCCATCACGGCCTAACCCTAACCTTTTGGCTTTTCTTGAGGCCGTTATATTGGCTGGACTTCAGTGCCTTCTCGTCTTTGTCCCATCTTGATGCCAGGGCGTCACAACTCGGCTGCACCTCCCGGACAAAAGGCTGAACTTCTGGCTCCACTTGTGAAACAAAGCTCACAATTCATTTCCTTCACGTTCAGCGCCCCTCACTTCTTTCTTCCCCTTCTCTTTTTGGCTTTTTAACTCTTGGGATGTCTCCATCACAAAAGAGGGGGACTGGGTTTTGGATGGGGTCCAGGCATAGATCACCGTCCCAGCGTTAGATGGTCGTATTCCAAGCAGGACACAAGACGAAGGCAGACAGGCTGGAGTTTTTACAATGCAGACATACGCAGGCGGACAGTCAGGGGCCTCCAGACTGATTTTCACAATGTATGAAACTTGTCAGCAATCTTTTCTTGTAAAAATGCCAGTGGAAAACAAACATTGAGGGATTTCAAAGCACTAGCAAAAATTCTCTTCTCCTACTCCAATTTAACACAATTGATATAGACACATGTAAACTCGCACCGATTGAGGAGTAAAAACCAGTCCGTTTGCACAACGGGCAGTGATGCATTAAGAGCACAGTCAAAAGATGAAAAACATAAATAGGAATCAAAAAAACACTGCAAATAAAAGTGTAATTTATGAAATAAAACCAAATCCAGTATAAAATTTTGAGCCAAACTTGTACTGTAAATGTATGTATTTGAACAGGTACAGGAGACTCACTCATGTTGTTCTGGATCAAGACAAAGTCCCTCGCTGCTTCTGTTTTGTAGTTTTGTTTTTCTTACGCAAAGAAAAAAACAAAACTCAACAGAATCATGGTGCTTTTAAGAGCGCTGCACAAACTCAATAATTTCTGCTGCTAAGCGTGTGTGAATATTCAACGGCCAAAGTAAAAATACATTTAAAGAGCGTGTGTTTATAATGTATGTAAGAGAGCAGTTGTATGTACAATCACAGTTACACAGTTTGAGAAATAAGGGAGCAGAATGCAAAGCAAACAATAATCATTAAAAACATAGCTGGATCCATCCACAATGTCATGGCCCATTGTCGATGGAGGGGGCTTCTATCTTGTAGCTACCATATTTTTAACCACCGAGCTGGTTTGCCTTGAAGTTAAACATTCACGTCCCCAACATAAACATTGTGCTCCCATGTTAGTGAGACAACAGCAGGACACCTGCACAGGAAACAGCAATCCTCAGGCGGTTGTCATTATGGGAGAAATCATCACGTCGTTTGGATAAGCCGGCTCCATCTCCTCTCAGGCAGGTTGTGTCCTCTCTGCTCCCCCTGCCCAGAGGCCCAGAGACCCTTAGACCCAGGCCTGTGTGGAAGTGCCTCAGAGACACACATTACTTAGAGCAGATTTGGCCTTTTGTTGTGCTGACTGGGGTGAGCATGTCGCTGCGGTGCCGTTTGTGCCAAATTGTAATGGGATTACACATGACTAGAGGCTGGTGTATCCTCTCAGTCAAGAACGTTCAGCAAGCTACTACCACATTATTTTATTAACACTAGAACTCCCAGAGCAGTAGATTTGAGGGCTATACCTTTTAATGACTATGGACACGGGCGGCACGGTGGCTGAGTGGCTAGCCCTCTCGCTTCTCAGCAAGAAGGTCCTGGGTTGGAATCCCAGTTGGAATAGGGCCTTTCTGAGTGGAGTTTGTATGTTCTTCCTGTGTCTGCGTAGGTTTCCTCTGGGTGCTCCGGTTTCCCCTACCACTAAAAACATGTACAATAGGTCTGGCGTGCACCTCCTGTACTGGCGACCCCGCTCCCATCTCTGTGTGGAGTGAGAGACAAATGCCCACAATTGTAAAACGCTTGGTGACTCTGGTCTGTGAAAAGCGGTATATAAATAAAGATTACTTACTTACTTACATGCACATTTGTGTTCTTCATAATTTTTCTGTTTTTGTATGTCGTGTTATTATAGCAACACACTGTTTACTGTCAGATTATTGTCTTAAGCAGTAGACTCTCAATACTTGCTGTATTTCAAGTTATATTCACTAGTTTTAGCACTTAATAAAGATGAATTAATACATATATGATTTATTGCGTCCAATCAGGAAGCTGTGGGGGCGGGGGCACTTACATTCAAAAAGCCTCTCTCCATCTTCACAATGTGAAAAGTTGACCTTAACTTTAAGTCGCTAACCAATATAATAACTCACACACATAATAAATATGATTTCAATGGAAGTTTGTGTGATAATACTTGGAGACCAGTTAGCATTAAATCCTAAATAATCAGACGGATGATTTGGTTTGTGTTCCCTAGAGCTTGGCTCTAATCAGAAGCTTGTTCCATAATTCTCCTCTCTACATTGGCTGTCAAATCTCCCCCTCTTTGTGATCAGCCTTATTTACTTTTTACTTGCTTTTATCCCGGCTTGAATACATCCCGCTGAGATTATAGGACAGTGACTTTTAAATGTCTTTTCTAATAAGAGCTCAGCCTCCAGACATTAGCCAGTTTACTGCAGGAAACCGTGTGTTCAAGCGATCTGTGTCCGACACATAAAACACATTTATTACAGCGCTAAACCGGCTCCGCTCTTATTACATGCACACTCATTAATAGGCATTTCCAAAAAAACTTGGGGGCAAAATCCACAGACGGTCTACAAGGGTCCAATTAATGCAGCATTACGGGAACTGTAAAACTGTGGCATGACGCGTCCTGCTGTGACTTAAGAGCGAGTCACAAATCATGATGAATCTGAATGTGTCTAGACCAAGAAATACTGTACATGTTGAACATGTTGAATACTCAATTATTTCTTAATTCACTTAAACATCCTGTATGTGATCTCTACTCATTACATACAGTGACATATGTCCATTTTCAAAATGTTGACATTTTTAGAGATGTTTGATTTGCTGTTTTTACTGTGATTATCAACATTATAACAAACAAAGACTTGAACTAGTATGTCTTTGTGTGTACTGAGTTTTTCATATATTAGTTTCACATTGTAAACTGAATTACAGAATTACAGAATATTGTAATTTTACAAGTTTCACCTGCATATTGTGACGATCACCATAATTACAGCTTCGGCAGATGTTTTGACCATTTAAAAATATCATACATATGAACCTAAATGCTTTGTTCAC